AAAGATATTATCTATGTTAAACAAAAATAGTTACAATGAGGTACATGTTTTTTGTGCGTTCTGTGTTAGTGTATCTTGTATATTGTTGTGTATGTCTATCTTTGTAGAAAATAAATAAAAACCTATTACAAAAAAACAAAAACTAAGACCAGAATCTGTGCCTACCAGTTTGGGTCAATTTTAAACAGTTCCACTGGTATTAGGGTCAGAGCTTTCCCCTTTTTTGATGCTTAATCAAGGTCTTAATTTCACTGGCCAATACCAGGGGCCATTCTTTCATATCTGGTGGCATTTTTGGTCTAATCTTTGGGATATCTCCATTTTTATTTGCAAGAATAGTGGTAAAAATGTTTTCTAGACGGCTGCTGGAATGTGCCAAGGTATGGGAAACCTTGTATTTAATCCTTTTGATATTAAGGTCCAGAAAAGATCGTCATTCATTTTTCTGAACCTCAGACCTCTTAATTTTCAGTGATTTTTTTGTATTGTCTTTTCAGTTTCAAAATACGTGGCAATACCTCTGTTCTATTTGAATTTTTAAACTGTTTATGTAAGTTCCTAATTGCAGGGGTCTTTTCATAGAAAAAGAGGTGCAGGAGCTCATTAGCATAACTGATTTGCATATGTCACATCCTTTGGCATCACCGGAAGCTACCCTACAACAAGCATGAAAATACAGATAAAGTTAGCATTGCTATTTATTTTTGTGATAGTTGCTATACAAAGTCTCCTGGGTTCAGCTTTTTAAAGTCGAGTTTTCTTAGAAGGGCAAATTAGCAGTGACCTTTGCTATATATGAGTGGGGTTGGTTTGTTTTGTAAAAGGAAGTTACATTCTTCTCACACCAATGTACCTGTATAGTTACATGAAAAATAAATTATTGCAAAAACCCTGTCCAAATAAATGGTCCACTTGTATGAACAGTGTGACATTAGAGAATGGGACTTGTGCAAGATTGCAGCTTTTTTTATATGCTCAGCAAAAACTTAATAATGGAAGAAAAGCCACAATCTCATGCAAGTTTCTCTTTCAGTCACTTGCAGACACTCCAGCAAGTGGTACACATTCTGCATGATCCATGTTTCACAGGGCTAGCAGATCTACTACCTGGAAAATACATCCTCCCTTCTCTAGTAAATTATGAATAACCTGACCCCTTGAAAGAGAGGTGTGCCTAAAACAGATTTACACACTTTATAATAACATTAAATAATATTAAATAAATAATCA